GGGGTTTACAGTCCACATTACTAAAAATTCTCTTCCCATTTTTTCTAATTAATGATTGTGAAATGGTACACCCGCATGCGCTAACAGTTTACCCTGGAGGAGCACCAGTGGAGGCTGATAAAATGAACATGAAGTCAGTCAGGTCTTATGGATAATGGATGGTGCATCCGCCTGCGCTTGTAAAAAACTCAGCTCTTATTATTTTCAAGTGAGCTTGTACATGATAACAAATTATAGTATTTTTTTAATCCAATAACGAGGAATATAGAGACCACCACGTTCTATAACATATTATGCTTTACTCAGAATAGTAATAAAAGTAATTTGGTATAAATTGTCTATACCTAAATCTAGTTACGAGAGACTGAGCGGAAGTGTCCCAACTAGGGTTGCTAGATAGCTAAAACTAAAAGCCGGACATACCAGCCAGTTTGGCCGGACATTTCGGTAAAAAGGCCAGATATACTTTTTATAAATAATCCTTTTTTTAAATAAAACATGACATTTAACAACATTGTTTAATTCTGAAGTAAAGCAATTGCACAAATAAGTATTATTTACATGCTGTTACTTAAAAATAAATAAATAAAACTAAACAAACCCAACTTCTTCTATTTAAGTTAAACAATAAAAATAATGTAAAATGTCCACCAAAAGCAGATCGAGCCGGACACCTTTTTTTTACCGGACAAGCAATCGAAAAGCTTAACTGTGTCCGGCTTTATCCGAACGTCTTGCAACCCTGGTCCCAACCAAGATTGCGTCATCCCACTGCATTGTAATGTTAATCTTTTGAGTAAGGAACGAGTCATCTAAACTATCAATGTTATTTATAACCAGCCCCGGATTTAGGGGGCAGTAACACCGAGGGCCCGTGCCCCGAGCGGCAAGTTCTTGGGGTGGCAAATTCGAACTTGGCAGATGGATATACATGTCTTTATTAACACACCTTTGACAACTTGGCCACTAACATTCGGACGTCAAGTCTGTGTTCGTTGTATTTGAAAATAAATATATAACTGTTAAAAAAGTCACAATAATTAACAATATTAGTAATTGGACAAATTGTATGTTAATGTATATTATATTGTATATGTAAGGCATTGTGCTAAACTATTGTAAAAATGTTGGACAAAGTTTGGGTCTTAAAAGGGCGGCATTTTTAATTATTGCCCGCTTCGAAAAAAAAATAATATCCGGGGCTGTTTATAACTAACATTACCAAGGTGTACTTTGTAAGAACTCGTCTACGTGGGTACCTCAGTCTCACCTATTTCTGCCTCCAAACAGTTTACTTTGTAAGCTGTTTCCGTTATTGCAGGTTAGGCAGTAAAATAACAGGATAAGAGGCATGACATCTTAGTTCATTGGATTAGCAACGCACGGTATAACGGGTGTCACATATCAACGTGATGTCCCTGTGCTCATGTATAGGGTTGCCAGATCGTCAAACCTAGTAGCCAGACAGACCAGCCAGTTTGGCCGGACATTAGGGCGAGAAGGCTAGTCACCTTAAATTATAATAACAGATGGGCCGTAGGCTTGTTGGCTTGTCTTGCCACATGCGTCGTATAAAGAAAATGAATTAAGTTATTCTGAAACGGTTTTTCTTTATTTGAAAGATAACATAATAATGATGGTTCTTTGCCCCAATTAATTAGCATTTATTTTTTATTCAGATTTTATTTTTATTTAATGTCATGTCCATTATCGAATTGTCCCCTTAAAAATGAAATTGCCCCCCTGCAGGCGTGGGCCCCATGATGGAGAATACTCTTGTAAACAGTTTAATAGTACACCTTGGGATGCCGAATCACGCCAAGAATGATTTAGAGGTAAGTTTTTGTTATTGAAATGTGTAATTAAACTATATATAACTGGAAAAATATTTTAATGGTAATGGTAGACAGAATGAAGTATATGATAATTCTCTTTTATAGTTTTGATTAAAGAATACAAATAAATAAATATATCAACATCTTTACTTACTAATAATTCAATTATAGTGCGTTTTAGTGTTATTATCGAGAAATTTTATTTCTTTATGTTCAGCTATTGTACACGCTATAAATGCACATGATTTTCACATATTTATGAGAAATTACGCAAACACATTAACGAGCTCGAAGTTTAATCTATCTATCTTTATATAAAATTGTTTTGTCACAATGTTAGTAACCATACTCCTCCGAACCTTGACCGATTTTTATTAAATTTTATATGCATATTCAGTAGGTCTGAGAATCGGCTATTGTCTATTATTCATACCCCTTGATAAATTCATGGTGGATTTACCTCGGACCTGACCTCATACTCATCTTATTATCCTCCACTGACGCCCCGCCAGTGTAAACTGTTAGCGCGGGCGATTGCATCACACCATTGTCATTCGATATATCATAAGGAACAAAAAACATTGATTAAAAAAAATCTGATAGAAAAATAGTGAAATTGGCAATTTTCTTCTATTTAAAATCGTTTTATAAAATAATCATGTGAAATTATCTTCTATCTCTACCTTTTTCCTTTCGAAATACCGTATCTATATATGTATAAATATATATATACCACCTGTGCTTGCTTACGTGCATGTCTACAGGAAGTTAAAGTTATAAACACCTATACAAACAAATCCACAGGTTTTGGCTTTAGAATAATATTAAACGGTTGTCACTATGAAATGGTGGATAGTCATACCTATTAATGAGTCAGGCATTTTTAATCGATAATAATAATTATGGACATAGGGGGACATATTCCCAATATAGTGGGACATAGGACAAGGATGAACTCACTAGGAATGAATCAAGACAGTTTAAGGCTGAGAATGTATTTTTTTATCGATGATAATAATTATGAACATAGTGGGACATATCCCTAATATAGCGGGACATAGGACAAGGATGAATTAATCACTATAGTTTACTCTGTGGACGCATACTTTTATCGATAATAATTATGGAATAAAGAAATATGCTAAATAATAATGGTCACTATAAAATTATAAGAATATGTACATAGCACGTTATTTTTACCCGCTGTATGTTATTTTAGCCTTCACTTATCAAAACAGCCACTTGCGGATCCCATCAACAGGCTGCGATCTCCTTTAGAAACAAAGTACAGCCCCCAAGGGTCGCAACCCCCCGCCGGAGAAATGATGTTATAGGAATCAATGACGATAATTTACGCATTTTTAATGGATAATAATCATCGATTATCGATTATCGATTATCGCTGCCAGTAAAGGTATACAGACATCTAGGGGAAGGTAATATAGAAAGATTTGACTAGGAATTTTCCGCTGCAGCACAGATAATGTAAACTAGCGGAAACTACATAGATGTAGTTTCCGCTGGGGACCTTGTGGAGTAAACCAATGGATCACGTCTTAGCAATGGAGACTATTCTGAACTTTCCACAGCGACTTTATGGTAAAAATTAAATTAAAGAAACTGTTTGTAGTCCGACCCCAAATAAAAAGAGAAATGGCTAGGCAGAGAGAGAACAATTTGTAGGACTCCTGTATTGCTAAGTAGCAAGAACGACAAAAAAAATATGAGCACAAATAATGCACAAGCTTGATATTGGCGCGAAAAAACCAGGCGCTTTGACTTTGAACTGAACAGAGAAAAATTTTTGTAGAAACGTTTTTGTACGAAAAATCTAACTTAAAATTCATAGCGCTGACAATGTGATCTGATTGAACAAATATAAAGAGCAATACTCAAGTTTCTTGTTAATTCTTCTGTGATGATTCTGCATTCCGATGGAGTAGTAGAATAAAAAATGTTGCTATTCAAAAGTGCTTGTATTAAGTTTATTTGAATAAAGATTATTTCTATTTCTTTTTATTCAGTCCTCCCAGTTCCTAAAATATCTACACTTATTAGTTTCCTACTCCACCGTCTTCCGCCTTCTCGCGGCGTACTTGGAATCAGCTAAACACGGTAACGCGGTATCCATATATACAATGGAGTGGTGGTCCCGCCTGCGCTAACGGTTTACGCTAGCGGGGCACCAGTGGAGGATGATAAGATTAGTATGAGATCAGGTCCGTTTAGCCCATGGTGACATTCGCCAGGAATTTTTCACGATGGGTCCAGGGTGAACCACGTGGAAGTCAACCTGACATGGTTCATTGCAACGGTTACCGTAGCCTATGGACGTCTGAAACTATTTAAGTTTGTTTAATAAAGACTGTTTAATAAGTTTCCTTTGCGTACTCACGGATTGTCAACTGTTCATTTAGGCCGCCAAGCCAGAAGAGCATTTTGCATTCTGTGCCATCTTTTGGCACATTAATAGTGTCGACAGACCCTGATACCACAGCTAATACTCAAAATCGGGGAAAGTAGATTGTTAGTAATATGGAGTGGATTTAGATGTAATTATATGCCATCATTTGCATTGAGACAAAAGCTGTTAAATTGAAATTATAAACAGACACGTCAATTTTATTTATTTTTACATATTAATGAACAGTATCACGGACATGCAATACCCCGATCGCACGAGTATGATCATTATGCATTAAAATAACGAAAGATTGGTCTGTAAATCAAATGAAACGGATTTATATATCGTATTTTATAGAGAATGATAAACAAGGATTATTTATTTATTTCATTCCATAAAGATTAAGATTAACAAAGTCACATGGTACAAGGCTAAATTCATTCCAACTACTTATTTAATTGAAATATGCTTGTAACGGAACGACTCTAGTCACTGACGTTACTAATCTAATGTTGCCATATAGATCATATTTCCATAAAATTAAGAATAATTAGCAAATTAATAAATCTTATAATTACGCGTATTTAAAAATATTTATTTATAATATTATTTGAAATAAAATATTAAATTCTTTGTCTTATATTTTGCATAATAATTTTACCATTGTTTACTATTCTATTTTTAAATTCACTATTCGGGGTACTTCATGATAATTTAAAGGGGATCCCTATTATAATTTCCCTGTTTTACCAAACAAACAATGTCCATGAATGGATTCCTTTCATGTCAAATTATTTTTGCTGTACCTACAAATAATTTATAAAGCTTCTTGAAAATATGGTGTAAATTTGATTATTTTGTACAATACTTGTGTTCCATTTTGATTTCATCCCTTGTGCATATTACTGGGTGCGGCGGACGGAAAAATGTCGTCTAGTTCCGTAGAGGAAATACCTGAACAGACTGTAATTATTTACTTTATATTATTAGCTTTGTTGTGTATTTTTCTATTTCGTAGTTCAATAATCCATTAATCTGTTGAATATATATGCATTTAATTTGACTGTCGGCTTAATTGTCTGTTTATTGTTTACTAAATTGCGTCATAATTTTATTATTTAGTCTTGATAAAGTCTAGTAAACATACATAGATGTTTTTCTGATTTAAAATATATATGGTGATGAACCGTATATAAATACTTCATTTTATTCGATATGTATTTAACATTTTAAATATTGAATATATGTGTTATTTGATATATTTATTTACTTATTTATCATAAAAATAACTTTATTGTAATTATTACTTTAGTTGCATTGTGAATTTTATTGCCTATATATATTTATTTTACGTGGCAGGTGGAGGTTAGAAAGGTTTTTGTAGTATATTATTTGTAACAATTTCTTAAAAAAGGGTATTATGTTTGATTAATTAAATGTATATTTATTATATAATTTGCTATTAGGAAAGATTTAATAATTCACATACTCATTAATTATTAAAATATAACTTTATGTGTATTTGATGGTTGGGGATTTCATTACCTATATTTATTTTCATTATTTACCTACCCTCATTATTGTGTATTATATATTTTTATTAATATATATTCTAGTATTTCTTATGAAATAATGCCTTTTACTAAATAAATTTATTATTATAAACTACTGGAATGCTAACACTTCTGTCTTAAGGAGGTGGGCATTGACAGCCACAACACAGTATTATTACTATACGAGTGTGCTGTAGAATGGTGCAAAGTGTTATTTCATTGTAGTGTCATTTCCCTCTTAAAAGTAGCTGCGACTTTCAAACTGTGACTTAGTATTTCAGCTGTACCAAATTTATAATATATTAAATCATTAATAACCATATTAACTTAAATGTAGCAATTATTAAATGTAAAATTAGTAACTGCACATGGTAAGATAGCTGTTATTGTTACACTACCCTACTTTGTAAAATATTATTTTTGAGTTCCTATAAAAGGAATATTGAGTAATAATATTTCTTTGTTAATTTTTACTATATCTTACCATTTTGTATGATAATTATAATTCAAAATATCTTTTACTTTACTTTAAATGCCTACCACAAATTTTTAACAGTGTTTTCATCAATGTCATACATTGAGAGACACTTTTTCTTTTTTTTTTGGTAGCTGGGTATCTGCTGTCAGTACTGGTACTATAAGCAGGTGAGTTGTTGGTAGTAGGCGTGGGAGGATCTCTATCCTTTGACAAGGTCCCCATGTTTCAGCTAGCTGGAAATCTTTCATCTAGCTCAAGGATTTGATCTTTTTAATCTTTTTGCTGGGTTGTTGGCTAGAAACTTCTGAGCTAATTTGTTTGGGTGAATAGCAAGGCAGGCCTTATATTTGATGCTTGTATTCCCAATTTCTTCCCTGATTGTGGCGATATTGGCAAAGTGGTGAACCTCAGCGTTGGTGGTGAACAATGGAGAGAACTTTTAAGATGCACTTTAGGATGCAATTGATGTCAAATCTTTGGAGAATTACGATATTCTAGTGACAGGCACTTCCCCATATTTGAGTGCAACCTTGTAGATAAAAAGTTTATTCTCCAGAGATGATCTCCTGCCAAGTAGGAAATCCAGACTTTGAATTTTATATTTGTTTCATCTCGTTTTGCCTTTATGTGTGATTGAGAGATACTGAATGTCAATATGCCTGAAATATATTGAAATTAACTTTGGAAAAGTTTGCTCCAAGTTGGTTAGTCACTGTGGAGCAAGATGACCAGTACCCTCCATCAAATGACTTATACATGAGCATCATTATGTGTGTAAATAATGAGTAGTTTGATTTATTTGTATGGTTAATTTATCTGAGGGTACTTATGAAATTATGATAAATATTAAATAGTTTTTCTTCGAATCTCAACCAATTTAATCTTTTATTCATAACTATCTGTGTCCACGGTTTCACACGCGTGTAATTTACAGCCTATATGTTATTCTGATGTATAAGCTATATTACTGTAAAGTTTCATTAAAATCTGTTCATTAGTTTTTGTGTGAAAGATAAACAAACAACCATCCATACTTACAAACTTTCGCGTTTATAATATTATTAAGATGACATGATTTATGTTTAAATTAAATTAAATTTGTAAGAATGCAGTGCAATTGCAAATAATTTTTAAGTAAAATATTTTAATTTGTATATTTATATGTTCCAGGACCTTTTCACACAAGATGGTGTACTTCTCAAAGCCTGCCTGGGTCGACCAGTTAATGAACTCAACTCAATCGGAATGTTGTGCATTGTACAAAATCCAGATGCAAGTAAAAGTATTGAGTGGCGACCCAATGACCTGATAACTATAGATTCCACCCAAGATCAAGATTGGGCGCTTGTTAATACCATTAGTAAGTTTTTTTATTTCTCTTTTCGCCTACCATTATCCTTATAGCCGATATATTATAGCCTTATGTAGCCTATAATCAGATTTATTGATATTTATTATGTAACCCGCGTCAAATTTCAATAAAAAGTATAGCCTATATGTTATTCTAATACTGTAAAGTTTCATCAAAATCCTTTCAGTAGTTTTTGCGTGAAAGAGTAACAAACATCCATACTTACAAACTTTTGCGTTTATAATATTATATATTAATATTTTATATATGGCCCTAATATTTTAGTGCCAGTTGGTAGTTTGTACTCACATATTTCGACTTAAAAATGTTACTGGTTGAGTAACTAAATAAAAGTAAATCAGTCCCTACAAACGGCACTCAGGGAGAGGGTAGTTTAAAAAGAGAATAAACTTAGATTTGACAACAGTCAACCAGTCACCATCAGTCACCAGTCACCTTCAGTCACCAGTCACCATCAGTCACCAGTCACCATCAGTCACCAGTCACCATCAGTCTCCAGTCACCATCAGTCTCCAGTCACCATCAGTCATCAGTCACCATCAGACACCAGTCACCATCAGTGCAAGACGATAACATACTGCGCCGACCGAACTCAGTCGAATTGAGAACATTTTTTATAGTCGGTTGGAAATAGGTTTAATCTTGTGCCTACATTTGTAATATTTCTGCCAACACTTGAGAACTTTACATTAGTTTACCTCTCCAGATAACATAGATTTAAGTTAAGTGTACAGTCAGCCTATGTCCCGACTCCGCGTCAAATGTACGCGTTACTAATAAGCCATGTAGCACACTACCAAATAAACTTACTATTAATATTGAAATAACATTTTTTACAATTTTTATCTGTCTGTCGGTCTGTTTGTTCCGGCTAATCTCTGAAACGGCTGGACCAATTATGATGGATTTTTTTTTGACAGGTAGCTAAAGTAATAAGGAGTAACTTAGGCTACCTTTATTTTAGAAAAATAAATGAAAGAAAAATAAGTTAAATTCCACGCGGACGAAGTCGCGTGTACAGCTAGTGTTCAATAAATAGAACAATTATTTCACCGGTATACTCACTACCTATATACTACAACAAACAATATATTAAGTAGCCATACCTCATCACATCATACATAACCCCACAGTGGTGAGGCGATAACCACTTCGCTACGAACTGCTATAATATGAGTAAATTAGTTAAGTCACAAATTGGGGAGAAGGAGGATCACCGAAAAAAAAAGATATACATATTATATCATCTTTTTCGGTCATTCTCCGAAACAAATAAAAACAGATTTGACGCCCGATAGGAATCAGTGGAAGAGGATAACATACTACCCCGACTGAACTCAGTCGTATTGAGAACCTTTTTTAAAGTCAGTCAGTCAATTTTAATCTGTAATCTACATTCACAGGGCGTCGTCAACGGACCCTGAGTGATAATTTAACAGCGGACTACGCAACGGCTCGAGCACGCATCATCAAAATACCACTAAAGGAACTCCAAAGCTTTCGTATCACTCACAAAAACCAACAGATGAATTTCTCCTGTAAACTCGGTGTGTGGCAGTCGACGTTCTACTTCCAACACGGCAATGCGGAAATATTCGTAGCATATCTGAAGAATCACGTGAAGACAGCGAGATCGAGCCGTGACAAAAATACCTATATGGTTGTGGAGTCGACAGAAGAAACACGAGCACTGAATCGCTCGTTCACAGAGTTGGATTTATTTACAGAGAACACTACCGATGTAGTGTGGAATATAGTGAGTAATCTGAAGGAGAGACCGTACGAAACTACAATGGAGGCATTTTCGAAACTCACAAATATTGGTAAGTTTTGCTACGTTGTTTACTGAGTTCCCTATATTTCAGCAGTGTTTCAACAGCCTTGATCACGGGTAGGTGGTAAATAAAATCTTTTATGGGGTGACAAATATGTCTGATTTCTCTAGGTTCTCACATCTTCATTTGTTGCTACTATTGAAACAAGCTGGATATTCATTCTGATCGTTTTTTGCGAACGCGTTTTTTGTTTTTGTGTAATTAATCACTGGATTCCAGGCATTAGAGAGCCTATATAGCCTATACATTATAGCCGTTTTCCCGATTGAAATTTTTATGTTTATATATTTCAATGGCCTCCCTGACCATTCTTTCAAAAACAAATTCAAAATATCTTTATTCATGTAGGTCTATTACAGACTCTTATGATATGTCACATCTACCTTCAGTTCGGAATGATTTCGAGATGAGAAGAACTGACAGCTGAGTTTCTAGCTCGTATTCTTTTCAAATAAATGTTGTACATGTTTACAATGATACAGATTAATTTTTTTATTTAAATTTGGAAGAATAGAGTGTTCACCAGCATATGTTATTGTAAAAGCAAATAGTCTAATCAGTGTTCGTAACCCAAACAGACCATATAATTGGGATATAATGGCGTTCTGATGTACCTTTCGGTTGGTGTAGTTCCAACGGATTTTTCCTAATTGTATGTATAAATAATAACTGCGTCAAATTTAAAACGGTATATAAGTTTTGCCACTTGACTATAATGTGTTTTAGTTAAGGCATTTTATATTCCGGACAAACTGACGGTACACTCAAGCTAACTGTCGCTTATATATACATCACAGGATAGCACCAAGGCCATCACGTAATCATGACGCCCGTGATACTATTCGTGCATTGTCATTTCGGTGAACTAAGATTTCATAATATAATAATATCTGTGGGCAATTCACATATCAGCTAGTTCCAAGCTAAGCATAGTCAATAGGTTGTATTACGGGTAATAGACAACTTATAAATGCATAGACATTGCTTTGGATGTCCACATTACTGTATTGTAATGTGTGTAAATTGTTGTTTTTTTTATGTCATTATTGTTGTGTCAATATTTTGTTCTAATATTCTTGATTCATTCTGTTTAAATTTAATACAGCCTAATTTAAAATTGTACAGTATACTACGGCAATGAGGCGAATGGCAAACGCGATGTTTCCGAAGATGTAGCAGACCTGCTTACGAAGAGTATGGTCGCGGCTGAAGAAGCCCACTCAGTCACCAAGAGTGATGAGTACGAGGTCATCAGCGTTAAGCCCACGCTGCCACCGAGGCCTTGTATTCCTAGGTGAGTGTGCTTGTCTGATCATGCAAGAAACAAATTCTTTTTAGAGCTTAGCAGAGCTTGCGCCTCGCCTGATGGTAAGTGATTACCACCGCCCATGAGAATTATAACGTCAGGGGAATTGTAAGTGTATTGCCCGGCCTTTTAAGATGGAAGGTTTTCTTGAATGTTTCAATATCCTATCGGTTTGGAAATACCATTGCTGGAAGGTGATTCCACAATGTGGTTCTCTTGAATAACGCTTACTTATATCAATTTTTTAGTACCTATAACACAAGCTCTGCTTAACTGTGTAAATTAATATTATAATTTACAGGCCAAGGCTTGCATGCACGAAAATGTTTGATACAAATAGAAATAATCTTTATTCAAATAAACTCAATACAAACACTTTTGAATAATTATATTTTTTATTCTATCACTGATTCATCACAAGAAGAATGAGCAAGAAACTTGTGTGTTGCTCTTTTGAATAGATTTTTTATACTAATAATTACACAATAACAAGTAATAAAAAATGTAATAGTATAAGAAATAAGTGATAAAAAAATAATTTATTTTCTTTATGATTCAACCTAAATAAACCAAAACTTTTAATGAAGCTGGGGCTGATGGATATTAATTTAAATTTATTACATTATAGAAGCACACCATTGTCTACGGAGAAGTGGGAGGGGTTGCAGGACCCACTGGGTCGCGTCGCTGAGGTAGAGGGAGTGAAGCAACTCATATTTAGAGGGGTAAGTCATATTTCTATACTATCCTCCGATCGATCCTCCGTCCAATTCAAACGGGGATCGAAATTACAACGGCTTGAGTTGAGGTTCGAATCCCTGGCGGTGTCTCAGTGTATCCATTAGACAGTTGGCCTTCAGCCGCTCTATAAGCCTTTCCGCGGGTTTGGAGTGCCATTTCCACTCGCGTGCTATGGTTTGGTGAAGGTATAAAGGTCAGCTGCGGCCAACATCACTAGAATGTTTGAAAAAAAAATGTTTGTTATTACGGCGCCTGATTTTATAACGGCGTCTCGACATTTCAGGGTAGAACACATTCTAGCAGAACCTAAACATTAGCCCAGCAGTAGATTGATAATAAACCTACTATCATCATCTTGTATAATACGTTATGATGATGATAAAATGTAATGTAATGTAAATATTTTGTGATATAGCATATTCTATAAGAACCTAAACTTCTTCTTTAAGAGAGACAGGTGCATAACAGTAGGTTGATAGAAAATCTACTAACCTCATTTAGTACAGTATATGATGTTAATAGTGATGATGAAATTTACAAATATCTCAGGGTATATCACATTCTATAAGAACTTAAGCGTCTTCTTTTATTAGGGGAGAGATGTGTCCAGCAATAGGTACAGTAAACCTACTATCCTCATCTAGTAAAGTAGGTTATGGTGATGATGATTAGTGATGATGAGATTTAATTGCAAATATTTCAGGGTGTAGCACATTCCATAAGAAAGCATGTGTGGAAATATATTCTAGACTATTACCCATGGCACATGACTCATGCTGAGGTGAAAGCTCTTCAGAAGAAGAAAACAGACGAGTATTACTGCATGAAGCTGCAATGGAGGACCATGACGGAAGGTCAAGAGAACAGATTCACCGAGTACAGAGACAGGAAGAGTCTGGTGGAAAAGGATGTGAATCGTACGGATAGAACGCACCCGTACTTCGCTGGTGATAATAATGAGAATCTGGTGACTCTCCAGGATATACTGATGACTTACGTCATGTACAACTTTGATTTGGGCTACGTACAAGGAATGAGCGATATATTGGCACCTTTATTGTTGCTTTTGGACAATGAAGTAGACAGTTTCTGGTGCTTCGTTGGATTCATGGAGAAGATTGTAAGTTACTGTGAAAACTCTTATATATATAAAATTCTCGTGTCACAATGTTAGTTACCATACTCCTTTGAAATGGCTTGACCGATTTTTATTAAATTTTATATGCATATTTAGTAGGTCTGAGTAAATAAATAGAAACCGATTACTATTATTTATTTTTATGTATTTATTTATAATTATTTATTGACGCTTTCGAAAAATAGACCTATTTTTCATAACCCTAAGCATTGTCCATCCTTAACATTTTTGTTTAATTTTTTAATACATTTTTCTGTGGCATTAAAAAATACAACCCTAAATTTTCACCCTTCTATCACCAACCCCTATTTTTTAACAGCGATTTTAATTTATATGGCAAAACAACGTTTGTTGGGTCAGCTAGTATACTCTATATTTTTAATTGTTACTTATTTCTTTCAATTTAAGGTTCTATTTACAATATGAATATATTTTATCGAATTAGGTGTTAGGCGGAACTGCATTTCACTACTTATTAGATTTATATTATTTTTTTAATTCCACTACCTTTAGTATATGTACACTGAATATTATTATTACTACTGAAATTGTACATATTACGGTAATATACCGTTTAAATAATATGTACAATCAGGGATGTTATGTTTATGAAATTTCGGATACGGATAGGTTTAGGATATTGGAATGATTATTATACCGGATGTGGATACGGATGTAGATATGGCATTATTTCGGAACATCCGTTAGTTTCGAATAACTTCGGTTACGGATATTAATTTTTTAAGGAATTTCAAAAGTAAAATACATATAGCCAATAAAATGGTTACATGACGTTTACAATTAGGTTCCGCCCCTATCCGATATTATCTGAAACTTTTATTTCAGATTCGGTTACGGTTCTGAATATTCTTTTTATATCGGATATCCGATAGTTTCGGTTGGAGTTGGAGCTCCATTACCGATCTGCTCCGATTTCCGGTATCTAGGTTCTCTCCTCCAAAGCAATGGTGAATTAGACAGAACCATAAAGCATAGAATTAACCCAGAATGGATGAAGTGGCGGCAGGTTACGGCAACGACGTGTGACTCGCGTATTCCCCTTAAGCTTAAGGGGAAAATTTACAAGACCATGATCCGGCCTGCTGTCTTGTATGGATCAGAGTGCTGGCCCGTAAAGGCGACGGATGAAAGACGACTGCATGCAACTGAAATGAGAATGTTGAGGTGGATGTGTGGTGTGACAAGAATGGATAAGATAAAGAATGAATACATTAGAGGAAGTATGAAAGAGGCACCGGTGTCAGAGAGGTTGAAGAGTAATCGTCTATCATGGTATGGACATGTAATGCGTAGGAATGAGGATAATATTTTAAGAAAGGTGTTACATATGAATGTGGATGGTTATAAGGGCAGAGGAAGGCTGAAAAAGAGATGGATGGACTGTGTGAAAGATGATATGGTAAGAAAGGAAGTAAATAACGAGATGACTGCGAACAGGGATGAATGGAAGCGAAAAACATATTACGCCGAACACAAATAAATGGGATAAGGAAAAAGCAGATGATGATGATTCGATAGTTTCGGTTACGCTTATGGAGCTCCCTAATATACGTACAATGCATATTGCCTTTGTGTACAGGCGACAAACTTCGACCTGGACCAAGCGGGCATGAAACTCCAGCTGCTCCAGCTGCAACAGCTGCTGATGTTCGCGTGTCCGGACCTCGCGCAGCATCTCGCCTCGAAGGATTCGGGCAACATGTACTTCTGCTTCAGGTGGCTCCTCGTCTGGTTCAAGCGGGAGTTCTCACACCCGGATATTATGAGGTAAGAAATCATACGTGGCAATAATCTTCGGGATAACCAAAGTACGCAATATCCACTAACCTTTAAGCATCGTCCCTGGTCTGCACCTTCTGGACTGCACACTGTTCCGAGAATACATTGATTGATGGTAAATTTGTCCTTTTGTTGATAAATATTTTTTAAACGGCCGAACCAAAAAACGTCCTTTCCATCGAACCGACCTGTATTACCATCCCGCTCTCAAGCGTGTGGCGCTGCAGTCGCAATCGAGTTGTACAGAATACGAATGTACAATCTCACCGAGTCCGTTTTCGAATTCGTAAGTGATGCTTACAGAATAGCAGGTAAGAGCTACGCCTGGGTACTCAGTGGTCGAGATTCGACTTAATTCTGATTTCTGGCTGTGTGCGTGTCAAACACATGGAAGAGTGTGAAATATTATATTAATTTTATGTAGTTTTATTACCTTTACAGAACAGAGATTAATTGCGAAGCGGTTTTTATGTTGATTGTCGCATGCCTAATCCTTGTTAATATAAATCTAATTAAAACAATATTTATTTAAAAGAGCAACACACAAGTTTCTCGCTCATTCTTCTTGTGATGAGCCTGCATTCCGAATGAGCGGTAGAACAAAAAATGTGACTATTCAAAAGTGCTTATATTAAGTTTATTTCTATTTCTATTTCTTTGTGCGTTCTTCATTACAAACTTTGACTGTTTTTTACTTTGACAAATCGGTTGGTACGAGTACTAGTTGCTTAGTAGTGAAAGTGGCTCTTTCATAATTAATATACCTTTGGCTTTTAACTTATACTTAAAATGTACCGTATATAATGTACACACAGTCCGGCCGCTTAGAGTTTGCGTTTCAGACAGGTCGGGATGGAATGGGCGATGTAACTTTGAACTGACGTACAATTTACGGCAAAATATTAAATACATATCTTTTTATTAACGAATGATAACATTAAAAATTTAATAATGATTCCAACTTACAATAAACGTATTAATTTTGGACTAAAATTGTTTGACTATTGACTACTTAACAATATAAAGACAATAGTTTTTAAAGTCAGACCACAACAATAGGCGCTGTTTCAAGGTTATTTGGTCACATGACTACAAAAACAAACAGTTGATTGGTCGATCTCAACCTGTCAGAAACGTAAAACTATAAGCGGCCGGGCGCCCGGACCTTAAGTAATAATAACAATATCTCAGGACAGCGCGATCTAGTCTCAACATAAGCAGAGCTTGTGTTATCGGTGTTCTGCCACCTGATATGAATACATTTTTTTGTAATTAAATACAAAATATACATAGAAAACACCCAGACCGATTCAAATAATCATACTCATGAATACAAATGTTTGTACCGTGCGAAGAATCGAACCCGTGACCATCGGATAGTAAAGCGGTATGCTAAACCACTAGGTCACCGGGGCTGTCTTTACAATTGCCTGTAACTAATGAATGTGTTTTGTTGGCAGGCTATGGGAAGTACTATGGACGGGGTTGCCATGTTCTAACTTTCATCTATTTATTTGTGTCGCTATACTCGATGCAGAGAAGGAGGTACTCATAAGCAAAGACTACGGTTTCACGGAAATTTTAAAGGTAAGTCATTAATTTCATAACATTAGTCATTTTTACTGACTAAAATACAGCTGCAGCATTTTTACTGCTACAGTAACTTTGGAATATTAGTAATTTGTTATGATGAAAGGGACTGAATTATTGTATAGAGGCTACAACAGGGAGTTTTTCAAGAAGGGTATATTAACCTTAATATACCCTTCTTCTTGTTAAGAGTCGGTAAAGCGCACGCGACACTCTTGGTGTCTCAGGCGTCCGTCCATACACAACGGTAACCATTTACCATCACATTTTTTTATACTACGATGGTGGCAAATAAGGTTCATAGTATATGATAAAAAACGTTCATTTTGTTTGTTCTCTTTAACAAAACAGTATACGCATAAAATTGTATCATAATATTATTTTCGGCCAAAATAATTGACAGTACTATTATTTTCTAATTCATTCCAATCCTGCAGACGAAGCTTGGGAAAAAGTTAGTATATTGTAAAATGTATATAATGACTATTATTTTCTAATTCATTCCAATCCTGCAGACGAAGCTTGGGAAAAAGTTAGTAGTAGTAAAATGTTTTTATGTACATTATAATAATTTCAGCATGTGAACGACCTGTCGATGCGCTTAGATGTAGACAAAGTGCTGAGCTCAGCAGAAGGGATATACCACCAGATCATATCTGCACCTCACCTCACCGACCAGATCAGAGTGATCATCGGTCTAACCCCACTGGGAACTTCGGTCCACTCGGACGATGGCGATTCAACCCGCACGGAAGGCGATTCGACACAAGCTAACGGTACGAATGACACCAACGGTTCAAGTGGAACGGACATGGAGGAAGTTATGTATCAGAGAGGATTAGATATGAATTTCTAAGCACGGTGATTACCATTTTACATAATTGTCTGTCCGTTTGTAGTTTCCATACTAATCTGGCTTGTTTTAATAGTTGTATTTCAATGTACATATATTTGTTATCCTATTTTTTAATGGATGATGCACCCGATTGTGCTAAAGGTTAACGGCAGGGACTTCAAGGATTCCAAGGTTGATCAGTGGAGTATGATATGATGAGCATGAGGTCAGGTCCGTTAGCCCATCTTCGCAATTGTCAAGTTAACATGATGGTTTTCAGGGGGAGCGATTGATAATAAAATGGTCCACCCGTTTTCGGTGGCGGTGCACCAGTGGGGAATGTTACGATGAACATAAGGTCAGGTCAGTTGGCCCATTGTAATGATCACTTGGTTTCCAGGGGGAACCGCGTGGAGGTCTATCGGACATGGTACATTGCTAGCAATGGAGTTATTAGTCAATATAACTGATCCGCTACATCCTTCAAGATGATAATCACAATGTTACTGTCTGGGGGGAATGGAGATTGTTGGTAATGTGGATTTACCACTATGGGTTAACTGACCTGACCTCATGCCACTTGTGTCCCGCCAGCATAAACCGTTAGCGCAAGCGGGTGCACCATTCCATTGTCATGCATTATAAAAAAATACCGTCAGTGTAGCTAGAATTCCCACATTTTGCTGCATATATTTGAATCCAAATATACAAAACCTATTGCCGTCCCTCGGATTTGTGTTTGTTATCTGTATTTCCATCACCTGAGAATTAATCAGAAATACAAATTGATACACAAAGGTTTTTGGTCACGGCAAGATTCCAACTAAATCGACATAGTAAATATGCATATCATTTAATTTGCACGCACGTTTGTTTTTTTAATTTTTGTGTAATATGTTGCTTCATAGTAAAGGAATTAAAGTGTAACTTGTAAATATTAACAAATACATACATATCAGACATTTTTAAATCAAAGGACAAAGGATTAACTGTTACAGTTATGAAGTAACTAATTGCATGAAACCTGTGAATTTAACTAATATATTAGTATACGCACAGTATTGATTGCTGTATTGTGTGCATAGAAAACTGCCACTAGCTGCTTTTTCACGCGCGAATTGGCTTTTAGCAGGAAACAATGTGTATGTAAATGTAGACTAAAAGAACGAAAACACCGCACGCGTCGACAGTGTGCGAATTCCCGCGTACTTCAATCATGCGTACTTTAGCGCCATTTTAAATAATTATCCTTGCAAAATGGCGGACAGATGTCTATGGGTTAATATGGGCATAATTATAGAGTTATTGATAATTTATAAATTTTAAAAGTGTCTCTGGAAAGTATGAACTTTGAAAAAAAATCCTCGGTGGCAGTTTAGCACACTACCTTGCTTCCGATGGTCGTGGGTTCGATTTTTCGCACGGTACAAACATTTGTATTCATGAGTATGATGTTTGGTTTACAAAAAAAATATCTGTGTATTTGTATCAGTTATCTAGTACCTATGACACAAGCTTTAGCTAGCTTACGTTGGGTCTAGATGGCGCTGTGTGAAAAAAAAATTAAGAGCATGTGTTATGGCCGGTAAATAAAATCCCAGGGTTACTTCACTGGTTTAATTTCTTGATAGTTACAACTTGCTGACCGTACTGAACTACTGAACTGAATATATAATACTGTACTGCGTAGGAATATACTGAACTGGTACTGGAATAATTTTTCATATTATTATTGGGTCGTCCGCTGGTCCTAACTGGACCGCTGGGTACGGGCCCCGAGCTTGCGCTCCTTGCCCGGGCATTCTGCTGGGGTGAACCACCCCAGCGTCGTTCTTTTACCGGCCGACCTGCCGGCCGGCCGGAGGGCGGCTGCTTCTCAGCAGCCGCCTGTGGGCGTTGTGTGGCAGGAATCATTATGTCGCTCGCCGAGCCGGCTTAACGCCGCCACGTCACGTAAATGACGTGATCACTCGGTGGAGAGTAGGTCGCGCGGGAGCGCGCGAGTGGCGTCCGGTGGGCGCGCGTGGAGAGGGGCGAGGTCGCGCAGGTGCGCTTCGCGCCCGCTGTCCGCGCGCGAGAACATCGCGCGCGTCAACCGGACGACGAACTGCTCCACCGATGGGACCTTGAGGTCTCGGGCGATCACGTCATTACGGACGTACCGTCCGGCATTTGTGCACAGACGGAGGGCGGCGTTCTGTTGGACCTGCAGTCTCCGCCGCTGTGAGGCCGAGCACAGTGCGTACCATGCGGGGGCGGCATATGTGAGCCGCGAACGAATGTAGGTCTTATAAATGCCTACCTTCGTCCGCAGCTGCAGCCTGGATTGCAAGACCGGTCGCAGCATAGCGCGCGCAGCCTTGGCTTGGGTAACGGCCCGGTCTACCTGCGGCGTCATACGCAGCGACCGGTCGATTTCCACCCCTAGGTAACGCACTGTGCGTTCCCACTGGATGGGCTGGCCTCTCAAAACGAGGGGCGGCGGATATTTGCCCCCGGGGCGGGTAAGCAGCGCCACCGTTTTACCCACGTTAACGGTGGTACGCCACTTATCCAGCCACTCGGGGAGCAGGTCCAACAGCCGCTGCATTTTGCGAGCGGCTGCGTAGGCTCGGCGAGACGACGTGAGGAAGGCACTGTCGTCGGCAAATAGAGCGAGGACGACATCCCTCTCTCCCTCTCGGAGCTCATCCCTCAAGGTGGGGATGTCGTCTGTGTACGTCGCGTAGAGCGCTGGCGAGATGCAGCTGCCCTGCGGGACTCCGGCGGCGATTGGGCGTGTGGTAGAGTCACAGTTCTCGACCGAAACGTAAAAGCTCCGGCCCGAGAGGAAAGCGTCCACTACTCGCACGTATGCTGACGGCGTGTTGGTGTCGAGCAATTTCGACACCAAACCGTCGTGCCACACACGGTCGAACGCCTTCTCTATATCGAGAAATACGCCGACCGTGTAGTGGCCGCGGTTGTGCTCGACAGCCATGTGGTGGAGCACGCGCGTCAGCTGCAAAGTCGTCGAGTGTCCGCCTCTGAAACCGAACTGTTCGTCGCGAGGCGACAGGGTCGGTTTCAAGCGGCGGAGCAGAAGGCGCTCGAACGACTTTGCTACGTGCGAGAGCAGAGTGATGGGCCGGTAGCTTGCCGGCAGACGTTTGTCCTTGCCGGCTTTCGGGAGGACTATGACTCTACCCAACTTCCAGCTGTTGGGGAAGTGGCCGGTCCGGAGTATGCCGTTGTAGAGCCTCACTAGACATACTAGGGCTCTACGGGGCAGCTGTGCGAGCGCTGCGGTGCTGATCCCGTCCGCTCCGGGCGCTTTGCGCTTCGGCAGGCGGCTGACGAGCCGCCTTACCTCGCCGGGCGAAACGAAGCTCACCTCGTTTACGTCCGGCGACGGAGCGGTACGGAACTCGCATACGCGACGTACGACTCGCTCGTGGTGCTCGACGACAGTGCGTGGTGCGTCGGCGGCGACGGGATTGGCCGTAAATTGCCCCTCCAGGTGCTGTGCCAGGATTTCTGCCCGGTCCTGAGCTGCGTAACAACGTCTGCCCGTCTCGTCCAGCAACGGGCAGACGGGGGTCGTGCGTTGGTGAGCTGTCGGTTGAGTGCGTGCAGGGTGGTGGCGTGTTCGTCCGCCCGGGAGATGACGGCCTCCCAGGAGGAGCCACGCCAGTCCCGCATCCCTTCCGACAGCTCCGCAGCCAGGCAGTTGAGCTCACGCTTGACCCGCGGGCAGCGGGTGCGAGCCCATAGGCGGCGGAGATCTCTCTTTCGCGCCAGTTTTTCGCGCAGATGGTATGGCAGCTCCTCTCGACGGCGAGAAGCCACGTTTACGGTGGTAGTGGCCGCCTCAGTGGCGGAGCGAATTCGCTCCGTCATGAAGACGGAGGCGGCCTCTATGCCCTCGGGCGTTGATAGGTCGCCGTCGAGGTGCAAGTGCTCCAGTTCTGCGCGAAAAACGCGCCAATCCATCCGCCGCCTCGACGGTCTCGTCGATGTGGTGGTGGTGGAGAGGTCAAGCGTGGCTAGGACAGGGAGGTGCTGCGTATCGAGGTCGTACAGCACCTCCAATGTCACCGGGCAGGGCACAGCCTGTACCAGGGCTATATCCAGAACGTCTGGGTTGTGTCTCGGGTTCGTGGGTACGTGGGTGGGGTGTGCAGGGCCCAACACCTCGTACCCGTGGATTTGGGAATCCTGGAGGAGCCTTCGACCTACCCGCGAAACAAGACGGGAACCCCAAGCCGTGTGTTTCGCGTTGAGGTCGCCCATTAGCAGGGTAGGGCTCCTCCCATCCAGTACGTTCCGGATATCGGAGGGGCAAAATTCAGGCACCGGGGGGCGATACGCTGCCAGGACCTTCAGTTCCGCGCCGTCGACATTGATGCGCACGCCTATGGTGCGCATGACGCGGAACTCGGGGCGCTCTAATTCCACGTGTACTACGTCGCGGCGGACTAGTACCGCTGTGCCGCGGTACCCCTTGCCCGCCGGTGACCTTTCGTCGCGTCTGTACACGTGGTAATTAGGCACCCTCAACGTCTCCTTTTCTGTCAGCTTCGTTTCACCCAGGAGTATAATGTGTACGTCCTGGGTGTGAGCTAGGAGACGGAGGTCCTGGATCTTGTCTCTCACTCCCCGGGGGTTCCAATACACGATGCGTAGCTCCCTACTGGCCATTCGTGTATTGGTTTATTTTGGCCAATCCTTTTGTCGCCGCCGACTTTATGTCCACGCCGGCTGCGAGCGCGAGCAGCAGCTCCGTCAACAGGCTAATAAGCATATCTAATGCACTGTTGACGGGCGCTTGTGTGTTGGGCGCGGGCGCAGGCACTCTACGTGCCGGTCGCGTCACAGAGGGTGCGGGGGGCGCATTTCGCGCGTCCACCGCTCGCGAATCGGCGGCTACTGTCGGCACTGTTTGTGCCGGTAGCGCCGCCTGACGGCGGCGCGGTGCAGCTCGCGGGCCCCTTGTTTGTACCGTGGGTGCGGGTGGGGCGGGAGGCGCTTTGTCCGCCTCTGGGATGCGGTGGGAAGGGACCGGCGTCGATGCCAAGACAGGCTCATCCCCGGTCCTCTTCTTACCACGCCTACGGCGGCGACGCTTCTTGGTGCCGGCTCCGACGCCGCGTTGCGTCGGTTCGTTTGCCGGCGCCATTAGGTTGGCGTCTGTGGCTTCCTCGACCGTAATAACGGGAGGGGGGGCCTGGGCGACAAATGTGCGCGGTTTCGCGGAGGGCTTGCCGCGCCGCTGTTGCGCCCTAGGCACAATTGTATTCGTCTGTGGGAGAGGGGGGCGGGGTTTGATACCCCTCTGCCTGGCCTCTCTTTTGTAGACCGCACACTTGCGGTCATTGGCAGTGTGCGGCTTGGCACAGTTGGCGCAGGTCGGTTTGTGGTCCCGCGGGCGGTCGCAGTCCGCTGCCAGGTGGTCACCCGCGCAGCGGACGCATTTGAGTGGACGGTGGCAATTTGTCGAGGCGTGCCCGAACGCCTGGCATCGGTGGCATTGCGCGAGCACCGATGCCGGCTTCCACGCCTCGATGACCACACCTCGCATGCAGAGGAGCTCTGTGACGGCATATAGCCGAGCGAGCTCCTCTTTCGCCATGGGGTCCAGCTGTGCGTGGAATATGCATCCGGGTCGGCCGCGGCGCGCCGGAATGCCGCGCACCAAACGCACGCCGAACCCCCTGTGCTCCAGGGCCTCCACTATGCTATCAATTGGGGTGTCCGCTGGGAGGCCCCTTATGGCTACCTTGGTCGGTAGCTCCGAGGCCAAGCTGTAGTAGTACCAGCTTATGGTGGGGTCCCTCTCGCTAGCCTCCACCAGGTACTTTTGTATAGCACGGAATACCGCATCCGACTTAGGGAGAAATCGGAATCCCGTGCTGAAGGGGCGGGCGTTGGGTGCCTCGCCCAGGACTCTCGCCAGATTCGCAAAGTGGCGGGTCCAGTTCGGCAACCTCTCAGCCACTATAGGCGGATATTTAGCCGCCGCAGTGGCTGGCCCTTCGCTTCCCGAGAGTTGGGGGGGGGCTGGCACGACCGGTGCTGCCGCCGGTGTGGCGGTTGAGGACGACGGTCCTGCTGCTATCGCCGCAAACGACGAAGGAGTCCTCGTCCTTGGTGAGGGGACGGGCGGCGGGACTGACTCCATTGTCGGGTCACTGGCAATGCCCGCGTATGACGTTACGTCAAAGTCACCCCGGTTCAATGTGAACGAGCGGGGTGAGGCGCGGGGCGAGGCGCGGGGTGTGGGGACAGGGGACTGCGGTGACGAGTGGGCGTCGCCGTAGTAGCACCCGTCTGTCTCTTCTTCCCCGCTTCCAGATGAGGGAGAAGATGAGCGCGGGGGCAGCAGCGGCGATCGCCGCATTGCACCTGTCTGGGGGAGGGGCTGGTTGCTCCTGTCCACCAGACGGAACTGGGGCCTCGGAGGCGACCTCTCTAGGTCGATGTCGAACGGGGGGGACTCCTCCATGTCCCTCCTCTTGTCACCTCGAGCCGGCGACGACGGCGACGGCGGCGTGCGCCTTTTCGAGGGGCCAGGTTGTGCTCCCGTTACCCCCCCGCCTTGTTCCCGGTCGGCGGCATCATTGCCGCTTCCCGCGAGGGCAGGGGGGGTACCTTTGGTTCCCGGGCGAGCGTGGAATGTCCCCAACTCGGTGGTGGGGACGAGCTTGGTCGGGTCCGTGAGGTCCCGACGCACTACTGTGCGTGGGTTACCCCTATCGGGGGGTTTCCTAGGGGCTTTTCCCCGTTGGGACATGCTCTTGGGTCTGCTCCTGCGTTGGGGACACGACACGACCTGAAAAATCCAGGCCGCGCCCTAACCAATCTAACGCAGGTGCACTTGTCCTCCCCGTGAGGCGACACCTGCGGGATTGGAGAGGGTTGTGTGGGGGTTGGAACCCCACTGCGAACCTTCTAAGAAGAAGGTGGGTTGTGGCCCTGAAGGGCAGCAGTCACTTTGGTGACAATCGCAGTTGGATTGCAGCGACGAATTTGCACCAACAAATTCGGTCTACAATCCTAGCGCGTTCTCTCACTAAACAAAGTACACTTTGTGTAGTTGGATTACGCACTGTATCGCTCTCGACAATTTGCGCAAGTGGGCACCAGTTGCGGGGCTCACTCTGGAGACTCGACGGCGAACCGGAGTCTCACAGAGGATCACACGACCAACGGTAGACTCAACAAGCAACAAACTGGAAAGCGACAATTTTTCATACAAATTTCGTTGGTTACGTATTCCGGAGGCAATACCTTATCGCGAGCTCCGTGTTTTTAGCTCGATTCTAAAGTTAATTTTCATTATGACTTTTGGAGTTTTTCGATGTTATTACCTCTGTAACACGTTTTCCCCCTTATAATTCTTATTTACATGTGAACTTTGCATAATTCCCTATCTAAAAGTACACATACATAATCATCACAATAGTATTTCTTATAAATACAAGGTAAATTATCTCTAACTTACACCGATTTTCACATTTAACAATAGTGAAATACTACAACTATAACAGGAACATTACTTATATCTAGTTCGTTATAGTTATTTTAATCATATAGCTTATATTTACATAACTAAATACGGTTTACATACATTATTGCTCGTTTTTTCATATATCATACTGTTTGTATCATTTTCATTATTTTAAACTTATCTATATGATATTACGCGTTGTATTTTAATTTTACATTATTATTGATCTTATTCTACGTTATTTCACGCTGTCCTCTACAACTTATCTATATGATATTATGCGTTGTATTTTAATTTTACATTATTATTGATCTTATTCTACGTTATTTCACGCTGTCCTCTACAGCATGTGAAATAATATATGAATCACTTATACATCACTTAATTTCGTGATTATTTATTGTAATTTATATTTATATTTTCAGGCTACACTCGAATATAATGGAATAGAAATCACCATAATAACACAAACCTTGTGGACGCTGCTTGCCTAGTGGCGCCATCTGTACATAACTTGAACACATAGACTGGACGCGAAGTGATAGATTTATATTTTTATATATAACGCACTTTAAGATGTCGATTGTATCCTATTTGAATATGGATGCCTATTTAAAATATACAACTTTACATGTTTATAATAGGGGTTGTCATCTTCCAATCAAATGTATAATATTTTATTATAGTGTAGGTTGGCAACCCTACAACATTGACCCGCCGATATTGTTTGCATAGATTCATTTTATTCTATATATATGACAAAGTAATAATGAATAATATACTAATAATTGTTTGTTACATGTAATGTGTAACTGGACACTTTTTGTCACTTGAGTTTGTTTATAGACATTCTATAACATGTATATTGTTTTATCGTTTGGCAGCTTTGTAATTACCTCAAACAGCAAAAAATCATATATTTTATGCCTCTAAAAATTATACAATGTGTAATAATAGAATAAATGCAATTCTTTAAGCACCCTAAAATACGATTTTTTATGATGGCAAGAAATTAATCTTTGAAACTTTGAATAGTACAAATTTAAAAATTGACTCGGTTTTCGGCAATTTGTTGCATGTTGAAGAAAGTGGTACCTTATGGAAAGTCATACTTTTTGCATTTTCCTAAGCTATTCTTCCTTTTGTATTGATCGATTTTATAATTGTTTAATCGATTTTGTACTTTACACTGATATAAATATGTCGCTTATTTCGATAATTTCATTCATTTCTCTAAGGGACAGGTATAACTATTCGTTCAGGTGAGAAATCAACTTGCCATTAAAAGCAATAAAAAAAGACATTGGTGCTGTTTGAATTCGTATAGGATTTAATCGACTGAACAGTGATAACAAAATCGATATTTTTAATATGACATGTCAATTTTACATGTAAAGTGATTTACTTTTAATTTATCTATGGTTTGTGATTTATTTCTAGCATATCAATATATTAATTCAAAAGATGTATTAAATTATAATTTAAAAGCACGAATGAGGCGGTTTTGTTTTAAATAATGCGATAGAATTAATGTATATTGTTTACATATGTTTGAAGCGAAAAGAACTTTGACAATTGGTTGGTTTTTCGTTTTGTGTATTGATTCAACTCGTTCAGAAATATATGCATTATGGTTGTATTGGCGTTCATCCAGATTAAAAGTTTTATGTGTAGTATTAGGTTATATCTTTTTATAGTGTGGATTCAACCGTAACTGACGGTTATTATCTGTCAATAAGTTAAAAAGGACGTCGTGCTCGTGAAAACATATAAAATAAGGAAATTTATAACATCAACAGCATGCAGACATGGCTGTATGGGCCCAGTTCCCTTTCCTTTAAAGGATAAACAGAAAAAAAGAACGGCGACTATTATTCTTTAAAGAAGTTCAGTGAAATTTATATGGTCTGTATTTTCATATTTAGTACTGTAATTAAATCTTCAGTACATTTCTCAGTCTCGTCTGAAACAGTTGGTTTCACGTGCATTTGACATAACTTACCGTTATTATATCCCATTTAACTCATAGTTTTGTATCGAATTATTAAAATAGTAATGTGTTTTTAAAATACCTCTAATATAACCATATTATTGTCTTCTTTTTGTTATAATTACTTTTGAAATGTATAACTAAATGCAATATTGCCTGTAAAAGTGCATTTAAAATAAGAAAAAGATTCTACAATAACATCTGTTTATAAGTATATATTTTTATTTTGAACTTATTAAATATATAACTACATTGTTATGCACAAAAACTTGCCAATTTGTTAACTTACCACTAAAAGATGTCAACATCATGCCAACTACTTCAAACACATTTGAATTGCTTTATTTTAGTGACTTATTATATTGAATTTATTGTCTTTACAAATAATATCTAATTTAAATGATGTTCAACATTTTAATTCACTAAAGTAACTAGTTTTCTATAAGTTTAATAAAATTTTAAGTGTTATTTTTGCACATAAACTAGTTTATTGTGATTTTAAAGCCTCACGTGGTTTTATATCGTGCCTATACATTATTGTTGTATAATTTCTTTCAATTGTATTAAAATTCTTTGTACCTGTATAGAATTTTTATTCCATAACCACATAAAATGTTAGGAAAACTTGATGAACGTCTGTCTATTTTGCATCGCAGTTGGATATTAGACACCAAAAATTTAAGGTCAAATTAAATTATTGTAAACAATGACAATTTTTTTGTGCAATTGTCATTTTTAGTTTTATGATTCTGCTTGTCTAAATATATATAACTAAAGGTGACTGACATAGTGATCTATCAACGCACAGCCCTAACCACTGGACGGATCGGGCTGAAATTTGCCATGCAGGTAGATGTTATTACGTAGGCATCCGCTAAGAAAGGATATTGATTAATTCTACGCCCAAGGAGATAAAATGAAAGTTTATATGAAACTTGGTCAATGTTTAATCGATCGGGACGAGACTTTGCTTGCATAAAGCTTCTATGACGTAGTCATCCCCTAAGAAAGGAGTTTGATAAAATTCTACCCTAAAGGGATAAATTAACGCGAGCAAAAGCTAGTTCTATAATAAAGTTATTCAGCATTTGTAAAAGGATTGTATACCAGTTGATGGGACAGATAAAACATATATTTTTAAATACAGAATGTATAAATATGGCATCTGAGTCAAAGATTGAGTGGTATCATTACAGTAAATCCCTTGTGTTGTTCATTTACATATATAGGCGATGGTTACCACATATCATCATATTGGCAGTTTTCCATTACAGTTGCATATATTATTATTATATAAAAAACTACAATGTGATAGTCAAAAATACTGTCATTAAATTAATAATTCTAATATATTTAAATTTTCAAATAAATTATAATGAGATCAATAAAATAGTAGTTGTAAATATTATAACTATAGGTTTAGAACATTCATTGATATTTGCGAATGGGACTTCAAATGTACATTCAGTCCGTACCGCGTCTGATATGACTTGTCACACATGTGACAGTGGAAGTTCTTCACTCCAGTATGTGTCAGTGAGTGTCGTTGCAACTCCGATTTGGAGAAGAATCGTTTACCACAACTATCACAACTGTATTTCTTCTCTTTCAAATGATTCTTCCTTATATGAGAGCTTCTTGAACTAGACGATATGAATGTCGCATTGCATACCTCACACTTATGGTCTCTTGTTCTCTTGTGATTCCATAGTATGTGGGAATGGAGTCCTCCAGGTACTTTGAACTTCTTTGGGCAGAATTTACAGCTGTAAGGACGATCATTGCTGTGTGTTAACATATGAATTCTGATATAGCCAGCTGGATATGATTTACCACATTGATCACATTGACGTAGCAGTTTCTCTGACCTACTTTTGTCTTTCCCATCAATGTTGGGCTGACAACAATGAGAATTTAGTTGGTCTATGGTGTAGAAGCCATCCCAACAGTTCTCACATAGATACGGCCTCAAGTGTAGTTTTCTGTGTAATACAAGTGAACGAAAATCATTAAACTTCTCATTGCAGTACTCACAGTCCCTACCAACAGAAGACTTGACAGGATGACTGGTTGTACAGTGTTCACTGAGTGATTTCACAGAATGGAATTCTGATTTGCACTCAACGCAGAACAAAGGTTGCACATCAGTTTCCGAGTTTATTATTTTGATTCTATTCAATGATTTCCTTTTCTCATATCTCTTGATTTTGTAGTTTTGTCTGTTGTCGTCAGATTCAAAAGAATAGTCATACTGGTCGCTGGAATCAATTAAGTTTGTGTTATCAGCTAATGTTTTAGCATTTCTGTGTATTAGTATATTAAATGAATATGTTATAGTTAGTTGATGGACACAGCTTATGCATATATATTCTGGGTAGAAATCATCTTCAGGTGAAATCTGAAATTAATATAAAATTTAATGAGTTACATTTATTTTTGTATAAGTACTAGCTATTTTTATAGATGATGATGATGATATGCATGTACTACTACATGTATAATGAAAGAATGTAAACTCATCATGACAAATTAATTACTAGTTATTTAGTAATTTAATATCCAGATCATTTTGATAGTTATCAGAAGCATATTTAAACCAATACCCTAAAATTCTTAAAATAATGGCCAATATGCAGACATAGCAGTTAGCTTTTCTCTTAAGAATACTCATAGATACTGTCCCTGGGTAGACTACAATTTACATGTATTTTTTGGTCATTACCACATACGATAGGTAAAGGAAATTGAGTATATGTAGCAGTCTATACTTATTTATCGTTATTAAAAATACTCAAAATCCCAAAACAGATTCTATAAAACTTCTAAAATATAGAACAAATTTTCAACTATTCAACTGTGGACTGTAGTTGGACCTACATATCTTCATCTGCCATGTATGACAAACCGACATTACAGATGCGTGAAAGAATTTACTGAAGACCAACTTCTGCCTGAGGGACAGAAATTTAGCGTAATGATGCCTTAATAATACCTTGTAATTATAGAATGTTTTTAAGATATCCGAAAGCAGCACGTTGTCTCCTGCTACAGAAACAGAGGTGTGTATATGACGCTTTTCTTTACTAGTCCCCAAACATGTACGACAACATTCTTTGTAATTCATATTTGTTGTTTTTCTGTATATATATAATATAAACTATTTAAAAATAAAAATAGGAAATTGATTACAAGTTTACAAAAAACAGTATAAGCAACAAAATGTCATATATGATATGTGTCATGTAAAATTGACAATCTGCACAGAGCGATAATGTCTGATTAGGGTCCTTCCTCGTGGCGACCCTCTTTGCCCCGGTATTAATTCTAAGGGTAATAACTTTATATAGGAGATGCAGTTTTGTACCCAAAAATCCTCACAAATAAAATTTATTTTTTTTCACAGAGTGCTGTTTTATTCTATTATTAATATTAGTCTGAACTATTGTCAAAATTAACAATGCTTATTCGCGTCATTGTCAAACAAACTTACAAATAAAAGTAATAATGTTTAAAAATATACCCGAGGAGAATTCTCATAAAAATAAACTACCCTCTAAAAAGCGTAATAAACGAAAGAAAAAGGGTAATCAGAATAAACAAGTAGGAGCCAGAAGAGATAGAAAGAAAACTACCAAACTGACCTTCGCTATGTCGGATTGGGCTGAAAATTTCGCATCTGCAGCTACATGGCAACTGAAACACCAGTTGGCTTACTGGAAAGCACGTGCGAAGTCTCTCGAATATGAGAACAAAGTGTTACACGATATAATACGTAAGAAACATTACAATCCACATGGATCTGAATGCAGTACTCGAGAACAATCGGAATCTGAGGAAGAGAATGTCACCGATGAAGATGGCGTTGGTGAAGAAGACGAAGATTTTGAAGTTAGTGAGGAGTTTATTCAGTTCTTAACGACAAACGCTAGGTATAAAGAGGAAGCAAGACTCGAGAAAGAACGTTTGAAAACTGCTAGTCAAGCAAACGAAAATTTAGATACAGAAATGGAAGAGAGTGTTGAGGAAACTGCAGAGCAGAGGCAAGCAAGATTGATGGATTTATATGGGAGAGACTGGCAAAGAATATCAGCACTAGAAATGGCATTACAGTCAAAATATATTGATGACAGTGATAACAACAAACCTGTGTATTGGCCACATTTGCCATTTAACTTGAATTATAATTGAATGTGTTGATTTTATGTGTATATAGACTATTTGTTGCGTTTAACGTTTGAAATAAAAATCTGGCACTGGCCGATTAAGGATTAGTATCTGTTGCTTGTACTTTATGATAGTCTATGCTACATTTAAAAAAGAATGGAAATATATCATGGGTTAAATAGAAAAATGGCAATATTCTAAAAGTTCATTTTTAAAAAGACGAGTATTTAAAGTTTTTAAATCACAAATATTTTTTTTAAGTTTTTAATTTACATAGAAGTATTATATATAATTTTAAAAGTATTTAGATAATGATTAAGACGGCGTGGTTGATTTGATTGATTTATATAAAATGAGGTAATTCTAGCTTCTATATTGAAAAATGACATTTTTCTATTTAATCGATGATGTGATGAAATTTTGGAGTTGAACATTAAGAAAGTTATTGTTAATTACAAGCCAAATAGCACAGAGCTGATCACTTGAAGGTTTAGATAATGTTAGATTATTAGTTAGTTAATTTGACTGTACTTTTTAAAGGCTTGTTACTTCATAACTCCGTCATTTATAAACTTGTTTTTTAATTTTGTTTGAAAGATGCTTTCAAATTATTCCCATTTTTTTTTTGTTATTGGAAGTAATTCTTTTTAAAAAAATATTGTGTATGTCTATTTATTAAACTGTATGCTCTCACTAACTGTAACTTATGAGCTAGTTGGTTTTTTTATATAAAAAGTACAGTAGTAAATGAAGTCTATGATAATCAATAGACCACACTTGTATCTTCATATCTAATGGCAATATCTGTATTACTGTTTTCCTTTTCAGTTTTTGACACCAGAAAGACTAATATTATGTGGTATTTTGGATATGCTTTCTGTATACTGCATCCCTCTGATACCTGAACTATATTACTATTTAATATTTTCACACCTTTTAGTTTCTATTCACACACTTAAACCTAAAAATGAAAAATAACAAAATTATTTAAAAGAACAACACACAAGTTTCTAGCTCGTTCTTCTTGTGAACAGCTTTCCAAATGAGCAGTAGATTAAAAAAAATGACATGACTATACAAATGTGCTTCAATGTAAGTTTATTTGAATAAATGATTTTCTATTCAACTCTATTCCTGAACTGGCATAATTGGTCGTAAAAATAACAACCAATGACATACTATAGAAGAAAGTAGAAGAGATATTCCGTGGATAATTAAACAGTAAATATAATTTATTGTTTAATGGTTCAATCACATCACAAAAATAATCTTACAACATTTTATTATTGTTGCTGACAATCAGTGTTAATGTTTAACACTGTATTTTAATATTTTATAAGATCACCACTGTGCCTCAGTTTGAGAGTTCAGAGATGGACTTAGCATTCTGTATGAGTGCTAGGTTCATCTCTAATGGCAGAGAGGGAAACTGAACAATTCCTGGGACTTGTGACCCTGGTGTAGGTCTAAAGGACAAATGTCAACGCACACCTTCATTGCTTGTGTTTCTCTCCCTGCAGTCAAATCTAGTAAGAACCTCCTATATTCATATATAAAAAAGGTTGTGAAAATGTAACAAACAGATGTAATAAAATTACATAGATATATTGCCTTCAGTCAAGTTTAACCATAATAATGTAAATAAAATAATAAATATATAAGTAAGTATGCTTTTTATTTCATACAATAAATACTCATTTCAAATTATAGACTATAATCGCCATAATGATTCTGACTAAGTATGATTTGCATTTTAAATGAGTCATAATGGAATGGTGTAGTGCCTTAGCTGAAGGTATACTATACGCTGTCTGGCCACCAGTGGAGGATGTTAAGATGAGCTTCATATCAGGGTTAACCAGTATTTTTTTTATCATATGGAATGATGAACTCTGCTTGGCGATGTTTATACTAGATGTCGCTACTAGTCTATTGGACAATTGTTTTAATGGATGATGGCATGGAGCACTCGCCTGTGTTAGCGCTATTAGATGATGATAAAATGAACATGAAGTCAGATCAGTTAGTCCATCAAGGTAAATCAGGGTGAATCGGCACCTCGATAGTTTCTAGGCAGAAACGCGTGGAAGAAAACCTGACCTGATACATTGTTAGCATAGGGGTCATTTGTCCACAGTAGGTACTAACAAATCCCCTTAACCAAGACTAAGAAATTATAGACATACGTGCATCTTTATCTTGTTACAAAGTGTAATAAAGAAATAGTACGATGACGTATAATGCTATTATATTGTTATTTTTGTTAAAAAGTATTTTAATAATAGAAATACTATGACATACAACGCCATCTAGCGTAAACTAAGCAAAGTTGGTGGTGCGAAGTTACAAATATTACTGAATTCTTTCCACATTGTTAAAAGACTTACTATATAAAAAATTTTGCACTCCTTTTCCAAAATTCTCTTGCCCAACAACGTTTTTATATAGTCTGTTTATTTGTGGGGTATTCTTTACCTCTAGATGCTCCGTTTCTCTCTTTAAAACCATCCCTCGCCTCTTAGATTAATCTCCCGCTTTTAAGTTTATCTCTGACAGAAAAAATTATACATTTTCTATTTACTCACTGTATTTTCATACCCGCTGTTATCTTTCATGTTCCACCCATAAACTGCCAATCTTTATACTAGATGTCGCTACTAGTCTATTGGCCTTAATTTAATCTTCGCGATAGACTCACAGATTTCAAGTAATTTAATATCTTTGCTAAACTAAGAATCGATTTATTTTATTTATATAATAATATATATTATAATATAATTACTTATATTTAATTACTCCTAGACGGTTTCATTGATTATTTATGTACTTTATATAGAGTATACTCTGTTGGTCTTGTGCTGATTTCTTCATTATTAATATTGATTAACATAGGTATATTGAGAAATAATGAAAATATTTTTTTTATCATTATATATATATATTATAGTAAATACGTGAAATAAAAACTTTGTATCCCATTTGTGCGGACGGATGAGTACGAAATTCGCACACATACTTTATATAGAGAAGGAACGCAGGAGCTAATATTTCTTAAAATATCACATAAAAAATCTATTGAATTAAGAAAAAAAAAACACACGCACATATATGTATATACTCGTTTGTTTAACTGTTATTGCTGGTTCAAAGATCTTTTTGTTTTTGTATTACAATATTATCTTGTTATGGTCGAATTTCCAGCACTGGATGACCACTAACTTCTTGAATAACAATTTTCAAACCAAGTATTACATAATTTATTTCATTTATTTCCTTGTGTGGCCAAGTAACAAAGTAAGTCGTTGATGTCTTTTCCAAGGGCACCGTTTGTAGAGGGAAGGCGGTCGATGGTTCGTTTCTATATGAAAGTATGTGCTTACTTAAAAAAAATATTATTAAAAAATGTCTGTTTGTTCTTGCTAATCTCTGAAACGTCTGGTCAGATTTTGATCACGTTTACGTTCATTATCAATGATCCTGGCTGCTAACCTACTTTGACGGCTTATCCAATTTTAGTGAAAATATATATTGGAAATTTCATGTCAATTGGGTAAGTTGTTTTGATAATTATATTTAATACTAGCTGCACCTACTTCGTCCGCGTGGAATATAACTTTAATTTCCTAAAATAAAAGTTTATTTTCTAAAATGAATGTAGTCTAAGTTACTCCTTATTACATCAGCTACCTGCCAAAAAAAGTCCATCCAGCCATTTCAGAGATTAGCTGGAACAAACAGACAGACAGACAGATAACTATTGTAAAAAATCTTATTTTGGTGTATGTATTGTATTTATATTCATATGCATGTAGTTAAAATTGTATTTATATGTATAGACTAGATGTGCCCGCGGTTTCATCCGCGCTAAATTTCAACACATAGGCAACAAAAAACACAAAAATATAGCCTATATGTCATTGTGTAGCTATATTACTGTAAAGTTTTATCAAAATGCGTTCAGTAGTTTTTGCGTGATAGAGTAACAAACATCCTTACAAACTTTTATACTTCTAATATTTATAACATAAATATTGTTTTAGTTTATAAATAGTTTTATTACAATATTGTCCTAATATGGCAATAAAATGTAAAGTGGCAACACTGACTAGTAGATAAGTTCGTTATAATAGAGAAATAGTTGTAATTGATGTATGTTCGATATTGACTTTATGTTTAAAATTTATATTGTAAAAATTCTTATACCTACTTGTTAAGTTTTGATTCAAAAGGACTTGTATCCAAAGCAATAAATATAATGAATTAAAGAAATCAATTGACATTCAACTGACGTTAAAGGTGACATTGATTGCTTATCATCAAATATAAATAAGAGAAAATGTACAGAATGAATTGTAAATAATGAAAATATTTGCGGGTTCATACCGGAATTTATGGGGTATAGGGAGAATGGCAGCAGTCGTGAAGGTGAGTGTCAATGTATTAGAATGGAGCCTGAAAACCTAAATCTGATTCACTCAGGCACTACTTGGAGTTTCTCTCTCTGCCACACAAGAACTTGGCATTTGTGCGGCGGTTCCACGAAATGCTAAAGCCGTCACTATCCTGATACAAAGGGAATACAAATTATGAGTTGTCTGGTAGAGTTTTAATACAATAGACGTAGGTCATAGTGCTTTAGGACTTAACACCTAGTAATATTCCAAGTCCTAAAAAACATAACAAAAGAAACTAACTTTATAGCAGTCGTCTAGTACCCATAACATAGACCTGCTTAGCTGCGGATTAGACGGAACTGTGTGACATTATTATTATATTATTAAATATAATAATAATACCTTGTCGATGTTATATGTCTTACTTGAACGAATAAGAGATTTTTGTTATTTTAAATATATGTACTAGACATATAAAGTACTTATATGCTATGTAATTACATTTAGAGATTAAAAAAATAATTATATCAAAAATATGTGCCAGATGAGCTTGTTTCCAGTTTTTCTCAACTGAATTAGCTAGCCGGCCTGGTCAGTAGGGACTGCGATAAAAACTGTAACCAAGAGGCCGAAGGGTGCTTCATGAATAAATATTTTTTGATTTGATTTGACCGAATTAAAAAATATATAAGCTGTATAAGAAATAAAATATGCCGCTTGAATACGAGTCTTGTAGATATACCGCTGTTAATCCCCGAATACGAGTCTTGTAGATGTGCACACGATTTGAGAAACACTTCCCCATTTAAGCTGTGTA